GTGGGAAGTCGGTGAAGGACGCCGACCGAACGAATTCGGCTCGTGACGGAGGTTGCAACGGCGGTGGTCGACGGTGGGAGTGCTGGGTTTGTGGCGACCCCTACCACCTCTCCCTCGAGTGGCCCGGCCGCAATGACTCCGACGACGACGACCACAAGGGGGGCCGCGGGGGGTCGGCCATCGGTCATCGAAGTCGGGATGACAAGCAGCGCAAGGAGAAGCAGGCGTCGAAGAAGGAGTTGTCGAGGAAGGACGTTGAATCCTCCAGCGGCAAGGGCCGAGGCGACTAGGAGGCGTCGTGCTCGATGGTCGGAATGGTGGAGCCAACGCTCTTACCGGCTGGCGAGGACTTCAAGGCGGTTGCGGCCGCCGTGCAGGCGAACCCGACGGTGGTTCTTCTCGACATCAGTTGCTCACACCACCTGACGGGGACGAAGGAGGCCTTCGTTGACATGGCGTCGAGAGGCGACGTGAAACATGTGCGCGGCTTCCATGGGGTGCTGCAGACCGTCGAAGGCCGCAGCACCGTCGCTCTGGAAGGGCAGGCCGGGAAGCAGGTCCTCGTCCTCGATGTGCTCTACATTACGGGCATGCAGGCGAACCTGCTGTCGGCCAGCCAGCTAAAGGACAGGGGCATGAAGCTGCGGGATGACGGCAATGAGATGCTGCTCATCTCAGCGGCGTGGGATGTGCTTGGTCGGGCACGCTACATCGGCCGGGTCCTCTGCACCGACCTTCGCCCCTGCTCGACGAGGTCGACGTCAACGTCGACCTAGGTGGTGGCTCTGCGGACGATGCTTCCGTGACGAAGTCAACCCCGGACAGGTGGCACGTGAGGCTCGTGCATGTTGGCATCGACACCATCAAGAGCTCGGTGAAGCACGAGGTCGCCACCGGCCTGGACATCAAGCCGTCAGCCGGCGCCGACCTGCCGTGCGTTTCCTCCATCGGCGGGTAGCTGACGCGCCACACCTTCCCCAACAAAGGCTCAGATGCCAACGAAGCCCTGGCCGTCGTTCCTATCGACTTGATTGGGCCATTCCGGGTGGCTGCCAAGGATGGTAGCTTGTACTTTCTCCTGTTGAAGGATTGCAAGACGCGGTATGTGTGGGTGACACCGATTGCCAAGAAGAGTGACGTGCTGCATGTGTTCAAGAAGTGGTAGCTGGTGGTGGAGTGGCAGACGAAGAAGTCGGCATTGATGCTCCGCTCTGACCGCAGAGGGGAGTTCCTCGGGAGGGAGTTCACTGACTTCGTCGACGGGAAGGGCATCGTCCACGACCTGTCCTGCACGTACACTCCGCAACAGAACGGCATGGCGGAGTGGGAGATGCGCACGGTCATCGAGGCCGTGCGGACGATGCTGCTGCAGGCGTGCAGCACCACTGGTGGTACCTCGCCCTGCGGCAGGCCGTCTGGGTGCGCAACTGCTTGGAGCGGTCGACTCTGCCACTAGGGACGATATTCTACGAAACGTTGTCGCTGGAGGTGTGGAAGGTGAAGCATGGGCCGGCGTCGGGACGGACGCAGACCCACTCGCTGGCGGACTCCGCAACGGCGACGTTCTCGCTGCTCGCCGAAGTGGATGAGCCTGTTGACGTCCCACCTTCCCCTCCTCCCCCTGCTCCCGCTGTATCACCCCTCGTCGCCGACTTGCCTATGCCGACACTCTCGTCGAAGACCAGCGATAACGGGAGCCTTGGGACGTCGTCTGTGGTGCCGACCAGTGGCATCGCCTACGGCCGACGTGACGTCAAACTCTTCGACGACAGGAGAGCAGCAGGTAGGGGAGCTGGCGGTAAGGGGGGTACCAGCAGCGGAGCCGCCGTCAGGGGAGCAGCGGACAACGAAGTTGACAGGGGAGCTGCCGGCGAAAGAGAAGTCGGCGAGCGGGCCGATGAGAGGGGAGGTGTCGGCCGAGGTGCCGACGCTGGTGGAACAGCTCGCCAGGGACGGGGTCGGCGATGACGAAGGGGAGCTGTTGACAGGGGAGGAGTCCACCGACAGCGACGTGGTGGAGGTCCCGATCGAGAAGCCTGAACCGCGACATTCAAGCCGCCTTCGGAAAGCACCTGAGCGGCTGAGCTACCACGCCTATCTGCTGCAGACCTCCTAGAACATGCTGCTCGACGATGCAAGCCGACGTCGACCTGCCCGAGCTCGAACCCCACGTGCACGCCGGCCCAGAGCACCGCTGGGACATCGCGACGATGACGGTGAGCTGGAACGGCAAGGCGGTGAAGGCCGCGATGGACGAGGAGATCCACAGCCTCATCGCCAACGGCACATGGGAGCTAGTCGAGCGTCCGCGCGGAGCTAACGTGATGAAGAACCGGTGGGTGCTCATCACAAAGTACCACGTTGACGACGGTCGCTCGGGAGAAGGCGTGCTTGGTCGTGAAAGGCTTCATGCAGGTGAACGCCGACTACGACGAGCCGTATGCGCTGGTCGGGAGCTACGTCACGCTGAGGATTTTCCTCGGAAGGAGCTGAAGGAACTGCTGGAGGCCGAATTTGAGCTGCGCAAGATCAGCCTTGCCGAGAAGTACCTCGGGTTGGAGATCGTGCGCGAGCGACCGGCGAGGAAGCTGTGGCTCCACCAGCAGGCCAACCTCGACAAGCTACGAAGGCGCTTCATCGACGAGGAGCAGACCGGGTGGATCCCGAAGACGGGGGTCTCCATCGATGCCTACGCCAAGCTTATGTTCGACGACGGGGAGGCTCAGGCGCACGAGGAGGAGTACAAGCAGATATTAAACTATAACTGTTATAGTTTGTATTGTTTAGTCTAGGTGGTGTGCACCTTGGTTAGTGCTAGGGTTAGGCTTGCTATATCTACCCTTGTACTTGCTCATTCTAGTCATTCATTCTTCTAGTTCTATCTTTGACATCGTATAGAGCTTAGTTCGTTCTCATGGGCCCACCTCCGCACGCCTCGTTTGTTGCTCGATAGCCGCCCGTAGCGCGCTCGCCGCCTGTTGGTTCGCTCGTTTCAGGGTTTCACACGCTAGCCTCTCGGTAGCCGCCCGTTAGCCGCCTGTCCGCCGTCCGTTCGCCGTCCATTCGCCGCCCGTTGCCTGTAGCGCCCTCGGCAGGTCCTGCGCCTCTCGCGGGCCTTCGTCCGTCCCGTAGCGCGGCCCCCACGGGCCTTAGTTCGTCCCTTAGCGCGGCCCCCCCGCGGGCGCTCCCGTTTGTCCTTAGTGCGGGCCCCCGCAGGCGCTCCCGTTCGTCCTTAGCGCGGCCCCCGCGGGCGCGCTTGTTCGTCCCATAGCGGCCCCCCCTCGCGGGCCCTTACGTGCGTCCCGTCGTACGCCTTCCCCCCCCCCCCTCCCCTCGTTCGGACCGTAGCGCGCCCCCCCCCCCCCCAAAGCACTCGAAGCGCCCGTCGCCCGAAGAGTCCGTTGCCCGTAGCGCCCGTCGTCGCCCGTAGCGCCCGTCGCCCGTCACGCCCGTCGTCGCCTGTAACCCTAATTTCTCGCCCGTCGCCCATAGCGCCCGTTGCGCATAGAGCACACTGACGCAACCGCGCCCAAGCGACCGCACACGCGTAGCCGTGCACACCCAGTCGCGCGCGCCCCCTTTCCTAGGCCGCCCGCGCCCTCCATGATTTATTAAGAATTATTGATTAATAAAAAAAAAAAATGAAGCTCCAGCATGCGCCACTGCTATGAAGCTCCAGCATGCACCAACACCCGCGTTTAGCGCATCAGAAATAGCTTAGGCTACCTTCAGTCGCGCCAGCACTAGCTTAGGCCGTCCTACTACTCGTACTGCCACCTCGACTGGCCCCTACCCCCCACGTACTAGCGTGCCATGTTGATGTGGTGATAGTGGCAGCAGCAGCAGTGGCCGCAGCAGCAGCAGTGGCCGCGACAGCAATGGCCGCAGCAGCAGCCGTGGCCACGACAGCAGCCATGGCCACAGCACCTGTGGCTGCACCAGCAGCAGCAGCAGCAGAGCCAGCGGCAGCCTCCACCACGGGGCCCTGTCGGACCCGGCCAGTACACACATCGGTACGTCGGAGCTAACGATGGGGTTGAGACTTGTGTTTCCAGTCTTGGTGCTTGCGTAGTTTCCACTCCAGGCGCCTCAGTGGTTCTTAGTGTGGGAGCTGCAGCTACTACTAGTCTAGTACCAACCCTTGTTGCTGGCTCGGGTGCGACCTCACCGTCTTCACAGCTTTCCTTCACCCTAGACTCTGGAGCGTCCAACTGTTTCTTTCGCGACTGCACCGACCTCACGCCACTGCACACTCCAGTCACTGTCGCCTTGGCTGACCCCTCCGTGGGATATGTAGGTGCCCACAACACCACCATTCTCCCGTGTCCGGCGGCTCCCTCTGGGTTTCTCACAGGCTACTACACCCCCTCATTCTCTAGGAACTTGGTGGGTGTCAGTCACCTCCACGACCTCGGAGTTGTCATCACTTTCCCTTTGGACAAGCCTGTTGCCTCCTGCACACTCGGTGCCACTGGAGTGCCTCTGACCACTTTCCACAGGGAGCCGGGCTCTGGTCTGTACTCACTACACACTGGGTCCCAACACACTAGGTTAGGTCAGGTCAGGTCAGATCAGGTAGCTGCTGTTAGAATACTAGCGTGAGTTGGGAACCATGGCGAGGGAGAGAAGCTAAGCATTGAGTGTCGAGAGGAATGGAAAGGAGGGTGTCGAGAGGGATGATGGTTTCACTATAGCACACAAGGTACATATAGCAAAATGAACAAAGGTGCACCACCAAACAAAGGAGCTACACTACAGTAAATCCTACAGGCAGTTATATAACAGAACATATAATTATATTTTCTGACACACCCCCATAACTGCCTGCAGGAGAAAACCTGTGTAGAACACCCCTTGAAGGGGTACACCCGGTGCAGTGGAAGACGGCAGAGAGGTAAGTGAGGAGGAGGAGGCGAGAGAGAGAGAGAGGAGGTGAGAGGAGATAAGAACGAAGGAAGAGGTGAGTGAGAGAGATGAGGAGAGGAGGTGGGGGAGCGTGCATGAGCATGACAGCTCACTGCCGGCCATCCCTCTTACTAACCCCCTTTACAAAGGGGGAGGTGAGTGAGGGATGAGGAGAGGAGGTGGGGGAGCGTGCATGAGCGTGACAGCTCACTGCCGGCCGGCCCTCTTAACAACCCCCAAGTCCTCACCCTCAATTCAACCACCCCCTTAATCTCACCCCCCTTATCAGCTGCTCCCTTGTATCTCACCCCCCTTCCCCCCTTCCTTCCTCCAGCCCCTGCCCCACCCACAATAGTTCCTGCACTGATCTTCACACGGCGGCCTGCCCCCTCTCCCCCACCCCCCATCCCCGCCACCTCCCCCCCACAGCAGTAGCCGCGGGAGGGGAGAGGCAGGGCAGAGGGTGGGGCTGTAGTGGTTCACGGCGGCCACCCCTTCCACGCCTCCTCCCCCCCAAAAAATGGAGGAGAAAGGGGGGGGGAGGGGGGGGGGGGCTGGTGCCGCAAATCCCCTCCCCCCCCACTGCTGCACCCGCAGTAGGGGGGAGGTAGGAGAAGGGGCGGTGCAGGAGCCGCTCGGGCGACAGCAGGTTGGCCACACCCGCCACCCCCATACCCTCCCCCCCACTACTGCACCCGCAGCAGAGAGATGGAGGAGAAGGGGGGGGCGGGGGGGGGGGCTGGTGCTGCAGGTCCCCTCCCCCAACTGCCGCATCCACAGCAGGGGGATGGCAGATCGCTTCCCCCCCACTGTTGCACCCGCAGCAGGGGGAGGTAGGAGAAGGATGAGGGGGGGGGGGGGGGGGGGGGTCGGTGCTGCAGATCCCCTCCCCCCTTCTGCTGCACCCGCAGCAGGGGGAGGTAGGAGAAGGGTGGGGGGGGCCTGGTGCTGCAGATCCCCTCCTGCCTCCCCCTGAACCTCCAAGCTCCCCCCCCTCTCCCAACACAAGGTGCGGCAGGGAGAGAGAGAGGTGGAGGCGTGGCGGCAGCTGCTGCTGCTGAGGCACATCCGCCACCCCCTCACACCCTCTCCCCGCCATCCCCATGGAGGGGGGGGAGGGGGGGGAGGGGGGCGGGGGCGGAGCTGCGCGTGCGACTGTAGGGCACGCGGGCAGGAGGAACCCCCTCTTGCCACCCCCTCACCCACCATGTTGCAACAGGGCACCGGGGCCGCGGGTAGGGGCGGCAGATCGCGAGGGGCCATGGCCAGGGGCGACGGGGCCATGGCTAGGGGCGACGGAGCCATGGCTAGGGACGGGGCCGGGCGCTGGGCAGGTACGGGGCCGGACGCTGGGCAGGAACGGGGCCGAGCGCTGGGCAGGTACGGGGCCGGGCGCTAGGCAGGTACGGGGCCAGGCGCTGGGCAGGGACTGGGCCGGGCGCTGGGCAGGTACGGGGCCGGGCGCTGGGCAGGTACGGGGCCGGGCGCTCGGCAGGTACGGGGCCGGACGCTGGGCAGGTACGGGGCCGGGCGCTGGGCAGGTACGAGGCCGGGCGCTGGGCAGGAACAGGGCCGGGCGCTGGGCAGGTACGGGGCCGGGCGCTGGGCAGGTACGGGGCCGGGCGCTGGGCAGGTACGGGGCCGGGCGCTGGGCAGGTACGGGGCCGGGCGCTGGGCAGGTACTGGGCCGGGCGCTGGGCAGGTACGGGGCCGGGCGCTGGGCAGGTATGGGGCCGGGCGCTGGGCAGGTACGGGGCCGGGCGCTGGGCAGGTACGGGGCCGGGCGCTGGCAGGTACGGGGCCGGGCGCTGGCAGGTACGGGGCCGGGCGCTGGGCAGGTACGGGGCCGGGCGCTGGCAGGTACGGGGCCGGGCGCTGGGCGCGGAATGAGGCCGGGCGCGGGGCTAGGTACGGGGCCGGGCGCAGGCTAGGTACTGGGCCAAGCGCGGGCAAGAGACGGGGCCGGGCGCTGGGCGAAGGACGGGGCCAGGCGCGGGCTTGGTACGGGCCGGGCGCGGGCTAGGTACGGGGCCAGGCGCGGGCGAGGTACGGGCCGGGCGCGGGGCTAGGAACGGGGCCGAGCGCGGTCTAGGTACGGGCCGATCGCGGGCTAAGTACGGGCCGAGCGTGAGGCTAGGTACGGGCCGATCGCGGGCTAGGTACGGGGCCAGGCGCGGACGAGGTACGGGCCGGGCGCGGGGCTAGGAACGGGGCCGAGCGCGGGCTAGGTACAGGCCGATCGCGAGCTAAGTACAGGCCGGGCGCGGGGCGACGAAGTCGACGGGGCCAGCGGGGCCGAGGGGCACAGCTACGGGCGACGCCAAGGGGCGACGGGGCCAAGGGGCCGAGGCGACGGGGCCAAGGGGCCGAGCCTAGGGGCTAGGGGCGACGCCAAGGGGCGACGGGCCTGGGCCTAGGCTAGCAGGGCAGTAGGTGGTGGGCCCATTGACATTAGGTCCTAAGAAAGTTATGCTCTTAATACCATGTTAGAAGACTAGCGTGAGTTGGGAACCATGGCGAGGGAGAGAAGCTAAGCATTGAGTGTCGAGAGGAATGGAAAGGAGGGTGTCGAGAGGGATGATGGTTTCAATATAACACACAAGGTACATATAGCAAAATGAACAAAGGTGCACCACCAAACAATAGGAGCTACACTACAGTAAATCCTACATGCAGTATATAACAGAAAATATAATTATATTTTCTGACAGCTGCTCTGTCGTGCGACTGTCGGTCACTCATGCACCCGTTGGTCCTTTGGCACCACCGTCTTGGTCATCCGTCGTTCCCACGTCTCAGTAGGATGGTACGTCACCGTCTGGTCCCAGGTCTCCCAGAGTCGCTTGCCCCGCTTCCTCGCTCGCCTGCGCCGCCGTGCACTCCTTGCGTCGAGGGTCGGCAGCGTGCTGCCCCTCACTCCTCCTCGTTTCCCCCCACCACGGCTCCCTTCCAGACACTGCACATGGACGTCTGGGACCCCTCGCCGGTCAGTGGCCCACGTTAGGAGCGCTACTTCCTGATTGTCGTAGACGACTACTCCCGCTACACCACAGTTCTACCCTTGCAACGGAAGGCCGACATGCCTACCGTCCTCGAGCCGTGGCTACTAGCAAGGGGTGACGCCCAGGCCCTTTGTGGGCTCCGCCTGCACTCGGACCGTGGTGGTGAGTTTTCTTCCACTCGCCTGGAGACGTTTAGTCAGGTTCGGGGGATCATCTAGTCTTACACGCTACCAGACTTGCCGCAGTAGAACAGGGTAGCCGAGCAACGCATCGGCCTGGTCATGGAGGTTGCCCGGACCTCCATGTGCCATGCAAGTGCCCCCCAGTTTCTGTGGCCTAAGGCAGTCCGCTACGCCGCGCACCAGCTGAACCTGTGGCCTAGTAACGCACGGCCACGGGTGACGCCGGTCTCTCTTTGGACAGGTTCTCCGGGTGTAGCAGCTGACTACCGCGTCTAGGGTTCCCTGGCCCACGTTCGCGCCCCTGGCGCGAACAAGTTGTCTCCGCGCACCCGTGCCTGCGTCTTTCTTGGCTTCCCACTCGACACCTCCGGCTGGTAGTTCTACGACCCGGTTACCTGTCAGTTCTTCAGTTCCCAGGATGTCACTTTCGACGAGTCGGTCAGTTACTACAGGAGTCGCCCCCACCGAGGTCCTGAGGCCTTTTCGCCCCCGTTGTTCCTCACCCTTGAGCCCCCCCCAGTCGCCCCGGTAGCCCCACCTTCTTCGCGTCCTCCCCCGTCAGGTGTGTCGCACGTCACTCCGCAGTCGTCCCCCCAGTAGCGTCCAGTCCCTGTCGTGTCTTGGGGTGCAGGAGGTGCAGTTGCGGAGGGTGAGGGTACTGGGGTTGCTGGAGCCCGTGGTGCCGGCTTTGGGGGTGGAAGGGGTGTGAGAGAGGAGGCCACTCCTGAGGAGGACATGGCTGTCTCGACTCAGCGGCCTCGCCCCGCCTCACCCCCTGGCTTCTTGTCTGTTCCGCAGTTCTCTCCTCGTTCGCCTCCGCGGCCGGTCGCTGTGGAGCCTGGGGGTGTTCCTGCCGTAGGCAATGGAGTCCTTGGGGGTGTTGTCGGTGGAGGTTTTGGTTCTGGGGGTGCTGGAGCCGGAGACACGAGCACTGCGACGCCTACGCTGCGCACTGTACGTTTCCTGACCCGTGTGCAGCGTTTAGACAGGTTGGAGAGGGAGGAGCGGGAGAGGTTTGAGAGGGCACGACAGCAGCAGCAGCAGCAGTCTCAGTAGGAGCGCCAAGAGAGAGTAGAGGAGGAGTCACTGCCGCACCAGGAGAGAGTAGAGGAGGCGTCACAGCAGCAGCAGCAGCAGCACCAGTCTCAGTCGGAGTGCCAGGAGATAGTAGAGCAGAAGTCACGACTGCCGCAGCGGGTGCAATTGCAGCCACAACAGGAGCGAGTAGACCAGGAGTCCGGCCCGCAGCAGCAGGTGCAGTTGCAGCCATAGCAGGAGAGAGTAGAGCAGGAGTCGCGCCCGCAGCAGCAAGTGCAGTTGCGGCCGTAGCAGGAGAGGGTAGAGCAGGAGTCCCGGCCCCCGCATCAGGTGTTGTTGCAGCCACAGCAGGAGAGAGTAGAGCAGGAGTCCCGCCCGCAGCAGCAGGTGCAGTTGCGGCTGCAGCAAGAGAGGGTAGAGCAGGAGTCGCGGCCGCCGAAGTAGGTGTTGCTGTAGCCACAGCGGGAGAGAGCAGAGGAGGAGTCACAGGAGCAACAGCGGGGGCAGGTGTCGCAGCAGCAGTCGCCAGAGGAGGCGGAGCAGCAGCGACTGAGAGACCTGCCCGACTCAGCACCAGCACCAGCACCAGCTCGCTGCAGTTCGCGGCGACGACGACGAGGCCGAACATCGCCTTCGCGTGCAGCAAGCGAAGGAGCAACCTAACGGTGATGAGCGACCAGCATTGGTGCGAGGTCGACCGCTCGCCTACCTCGCCGACACCCGTGATGTCGCCCTGGAGTTCGGCGGCGGACCAGAGTCGCTGAGTCTAGTCGGCTACGTGGACACCGAGGACGCCGGCAACAAGCTGAACCGCACGACCATGGGTGGCTACGTGTTCGTCTTCAGAGGGGCCGCTGTCTTCTGGACGAGGCAGCGCATCAAGTGCGCGACACTCTCATCGATTGAGTCTGAGTACGTCACGGCCACCGATGCTGGCAAGGAGGCACGCCGACTTCGCTTCCCCCTCGTCGTGTTTCAGCTGCTCGATGCTGGGACGCCGATCGTCCTTCGGGTGGACAACCAACCAGCAACCACGGCCGTTGAAGGCTTGGGGCTGAAATGCAACCTCAAGCACATGGAGCGACGCTATGCCTGGCTGCAGCGGATGGTGAAGCGCGGGAAGTTCGTACTGCGGTACATCCCGACCACCGAGCAGCTGGCCGACTTCCTGACGAAGGCGCGGCACTTTCCGTCCTTCAACCGGTGCTCCGTCGCAATTGTCCAAGCGCGTCTAGCCGACGTGGGCAATGGTGACGACAACGTGCAGCAATAGGTGACGTGCCCAACTGCATGGCTGGTGCGGTGACCGGCGTGCTATGTCTTCTGTGCACGCCAAAGACGACGCGTTTTTCTCTGTGTATTCTATCCCTAGGGTTCAAGGCGGCCCTAGTGAGTGGGGTGCCCAAGCGTGAGCGCGGCAAGGGAGTGTTAACGCGAGTTGAGAGTTGGCCCCGCTTGGGCGAAGACGATTTCATGGTCGGCTGCGCGGGAGGTGCATCTGGCCGTCAGCAGTGGTTGACGCCAGGTTGGGCGAGCAGGTCGACAAGGTTAGTCGACCTGCGGGGGACCACTGTGATGCCGCCGTTGACGGGAGCCGGGCCTAGTTCGACAGGGGTGGTCCACAAAGGTGGTCATTGACCTGCGCGGGACCATCGCGAAGCCGTCGATAATGGGAGTTCGACGTTAGTGGCCGACCTGGGTGGTCGACGAAGGGGTTCGTCAACCAGGGTAGGCTCCGACACCGACTGGGTAGTCGACGAAGGTGTCCGTCGACATACGAGGGCGTCGGCTTGGTGAAGTCGATGGGAGGCGTCGAGCTGCCTGGTCGACGTGCAGGTACAACAGTTGGCGGGCTTCAGCCACGCAAGTCGACGCCGACTTGCGCAGTTTCCCCGTTGACCGAGTAACCTACTCGACGAGGTTCTGCGGAGGTGCGCGAACGTCGTCGAGGCTGCTGTGGCGAAGTCGACCGATGTGGCAGCACGTGGTCGACGTGGCTCTTCAGTCGCAACTGTCAAGACATGGCCGACATGGCACCTGCGCAATGTCCGTGGCAGTGCATGACGTGCTGAACGTCTACAAGCACCTGCGAAGTAGGTGCGCGCTCATGCGCATACAATCACATGAGGTTGCAACGCTGGCAGATCGCTTTGTAGCAGCGTTGGCAAGCCGCCTTGGTGCAGCGTTGGCGAGCCGCCGACTTGCTCTGTTGGCAGGTCGCCTTTCTGTAACACTGGCGCGGTGCCTCTTAGGGAGGCTGGCAGGCTATCGACCTTGCTGCTTTGGCGGTCGACTTGCCAGTGTGCTCAGCAGACTTGCATCTTATGTAGTGATTCTTACCATTGTTGTTGCAACCATTGTGTAAACCTTTAGTGGAACTCTTGCCAATTCTCTGCGTGGATGTACAAGTGCTACGGAACGCAGGGAAAGCTACAATCACTCGTACCAATCGTGCCTTCCCCGTAATCCAGCTCCCGTTGTAGAGTCACTCTCCGCAGACGCCACAGACGACCAGCTTCGACGCTGATAGTAGGTTGAAGCGCAGGTTCTTGATGATGAGCACATCATTCAGGGTGATGTGTTTGTTGTTGTCGTGCGCCTTGAGCACGACGATTCCGTGCGTGTTTGCCTTCAGCCTCTTGTTGTTCCCCACGGTGATGTATGTGACCATGGGTGTGGGTATGGCTTTTGAGATAAGGAGCCATGATC